AGCAGGAGCTGGCGGTGTCCTCACAGGAGGGCGAGTACTGCTCAAAGGGCATGGAGAGGTCCAGGTACTGCAGGGAGAGATGGTGCTGTCCATGATGTAGCCACTATTGCCTGCAACGCCCACCCTGCTCCCTGCCAGACCCCCACTGCTCACCTCCTCTGAAACTGCTGCCAGGATCTTGTCCAGACCCTCCACAAGCTGCTTGAAGGTGGGACGCTGTGAGGGCACAGCATGCCAGCACTCCCGCATCAGCATGTACCTGGGGGGACATGAGGAAATGTTAGGTGGGGTCTTCCTGTGTGCTCCCCACCTGCCCTGCCTGCCTGGTACTCACAGCTCGTGGGTGCAGTTGGACGGCCGGTCCATGCGGTGTCCCTCCTTCAGCAGCTTGAAGAGCTCCTCCACAGGGATGCCAGGGTAGGGGGAGCCTCCCAGCGTGAAGATCTCCCACATCAGGATCCCGAAGGACCACCTGGGGTAATGCACAGCAAAGGGGAGGTCAGCCATGTTCTAGGACCCTCTCTAGGAAGGTGGGGCCCCAGCTCACCCGACCACATCCTGCAGTGCCATGGGAGCACATACTCTGCTGCAGCTACTTGCCCCATCCTACTTGTGGGTACCCTTCAGTACATGCATAACCCCGCAGCGCTGCCTTGTCCCACACTGATGGCATCCTCATCCCACACCCAAACAGCACCCTCAGCCCCCAGCAGCCCGCACACTCACACATCGCTCTGGTGGGTGTAGACCCGGTCAAACAGGGCCTCTGGTGCCATCCACTTCACTGGCAGGCGGCCCTGCAAAACAAACCCCCCTGCTCAGCCACAGCCAGTGGTCCCCATCCTACCCTCCTGCCCCTCTCTTAGGTCCCCCACTCACATTGCTGGTTTTCTTGTAGTAGTCAATGTCATGGACATCCCTGGCCAAGCCAAAATCAGCGATCTTCATCACGCTCTCTGCCGTGACCAGCACGTTGCGGGCAGCCAGGTCCCGGTGGATGCACTGCCAGGGGGGAGCATCACCCACAGAGTGTGTGAGATGGTGGCTCCAGCTCCATCACCACCACGCCTCCCCCAGGATGTGCCAATCACAGGCAGCCCGCATGGGCTGTGCCATCCCTACCCGTTTAGACTCCAGGTACTCCATGCCACGTGCCACCTGGTAGACACAGGAGATCAGGTCCTTGAAAGAGAGCTGCTCCTCGGGCATCGCCGTGACATCAAAAGCGTAGTCAGGTGTTGGGGGGCGGCGGGCGCGCAGGTACTCTCGCAGGTTGCCCTTTGCAGCAAACTCCACAATCACGTAAAGTGGCCCTGGGAAGGGTGTCCACTCTGTTTGGTCCCTGCTCTGTCCTGTCCCACACATGTCCCACCTGCTACTGTCCCCAGGAGGCATATCCCCTGTTCCCGCTCCATGGCCATGCCCTGCCCGAGCCTGGCACAGCCCCCTCACCATCCTGTGTGCAGACTCCCAGGAGGTTGATGATGTTCTTGTGCTTATCCATGAGCTTCATCATCTCCATCTCGGATATGAGATCAGCCAGGTCCTTGTCTGTGGCATTATCTGGGGAAGGAAGGCCATGTCACCACGCCAGCCTGGCACTGATGCCACCTCTGTACCTGGGACACTGGCAGGGGGGCTGTTACCTTTCAACATTTTCACAGCCACGGTGACTGCTCTGTCTGGACGGTCTCTGTCTATGCCATAAGCCTCTGCCCGCACCACCTGGCCAAAGCAGCCTTCTCCCAGGGGTTTGCCCAGCACCAGCCTGGCAGGGATGGGCAAAACTGTGAGTAACCACAGGGGTGGCCCAACTCCCTGCCACTGCACTGCAGGGCCTCAAGGAGAAGAGGCAGCATGGCTGCCCCTCTCTGGTCTGAGCCAAGTCCCAACATCCCAGGATACAGCAGTGATGGCCAGAGACCTCCCCACCTGCCACCCGAGTGCTGCTGTCCCCAGGGTGTTTGGGGAGAGCAGCTCCCTGACCTGCCCTGCACCGTACTTGTCTCGGGGGAACTCCCACTTGGCATCGAGCGGCAGGTCCAGCTCCATGACCCCTGCCAGCATCGGGGCACAGCTGGAGGAGAGACGAGTGATGCGCATCAGGGATGTGCTGGATTTCCTGGAGGAGCTGGAGTCCAGGGAGAACTGCAGAGAGAGCCCAAGGGACTTCAGCTATCCCACCCTGTGCTCCAGGACCAAAGACAGATCCAAGGATGCTCCAGAGCGACTCTCACTCAGGCCAATGAGGCAAGAGAGCCGCAGGAAGCAGTGGGGAGGGCAGAAGGAGAAGGTGTGACAAGCAGAGGTGGCACTTGTGGAGCCAGTCACTAAGGTCCCCCCATGCCCCCAGGGCTCCAGCTTGGCACCCACCTGTCGGATCAGTGGGAATTTGGAAAGCTTGTGGACTGCTATGGGCTCCAGAGGCTGCTTGCTTGACTGAGTCTGCATCCGGCACAGCACCACAATGATGGCAGCCATGGCCACGGCCAATGACCCCGAGGTGTAGATGATGATGTCTGTGTACTTGGCCTCGGGGGCTTCAGCTTCCCGCACCAGCTCCTCCTCTGAAGGAAGTGAATGAGTTGGCCTGCGCCTTGTTTCCTGTGTGCCGGGGGTCCCAGCTCCCACTCCAGGACTCCCAACCCTACCTGGCAGCACAGTGAGCCAGGCAGACTGGTAGGAGAGGCCGATGGAGTTCCCTGCCAAGCAGGTGTACTCGCCAGCATCCTCCATGGAGATGTTGCGCAGGTACAGCACCTCCACCTCAGAACTGTTGATATCTGCAGTCTGTCAGGGAGAGCAATGAATGGTCAGGGTCCCTCCTCCTCCTTGGGGGGCTCTGTGCACCCCCCATCACCACACGGGAGTGGGTATCTAGGACTCTGATGCTTCAAGCCCTTGTTACCTTGAGCACTTGCACATAGGGGACTCCATCAGGACCATAGCTGCTGCCGTTCACCTCAATGTGCTTCAGCCACTGGATGTGGGGCTGGGCATCGCTGTAGACCTTGCAGAAAAACTCCACATCACTGCCCACCAGGGCTGTGGTGTTGGCGGGCAGCCCAGCCTGCAAGATGGGCCTGTGCGGGGACCTCTCTGTGCAGAGGAGAGCAGAGTGGTGTCACAAACATGGTGACCCAGAGCAAGGCCTCCATTCTGCCTCCCTCTGCCCACTGTGAACCCGTGAACCCTTCCTCAACACTACAGCAGACCAGGGCGACCTGGTCTCCATCCTCACATCCCTTTGGGTGTGAGGGACATGTGGGCTGTGCCAGTGGTAACAACCTAACCAGAGGCTCCTTTGCTCCCTCCCCTGTGACCTCAACCCCTCTACCAGGCACAGAGGGAGCAGAGCGCCAGGACCAGCGCCAAGGAGCCCTCACCCAGTACATCCAGGAGGTAGCTGTAGTGGATGCTGCCAAACCTGTTCTCCACCAGGCAGGTGTAGTTGCCACGGTCGGAGGGCACCACGCTCTCCATCACCAGGCTCCAGTGCTGGTGCCGGAGCTGCAGAGGGGGGAGACAAGGTGTGATGGGCTGGCCAGACCCCAGGAGGGAAGGCTGTGGCAGGGGGCCCTGGCCCTTACTCGGATGCCCCCAATGCGGTGCTCCCCCCGGAACTCGCGCCCGTTCTTGAACCAGCGAATGCTGGGGCTGGGGCTGCCTGAGGCTGGGCAGGGAAACCTCACCGTGTTCCCCGCGGGGACTGCATATAGCTTCTTGTCCATCCGGTGTGGGTGAGTCCAGTAGGGAGCTGGGGAGACACAGGATGTAGAGTGGGAGGAGACGAAGGGGCAGCATGGAAGCTGCTGGAGCTGCTAGCAGAACTCATGGTGTAAGCAGGAGGCAGCAGTGCCCCATATAAGACTCTGCCCTGCGCTCCTGGTCCTGCCCCAGTTGCCCTCTCCTGCCCAGGGCAGCACTGACCTCTGTGCACATAGACAGGATCCTCATTTTGGTCTCTGTGGGGACTGTCCCCATCACTGTCTTCATCGTCATCACCCGACGCCAGTGAGTCTGCAAGGGAAGATGGGAGGAGTCCCTGCCTGCAGAGCCGGGGTTGAAAGGGACATCCCTGCCCGCAGTGCCAGGTGGGCAGTGGCTGCCTTGCTGCCCCGGGAGGAGCAGAGCACTGCCAGGGCTCCTACCCACAACAGATATGGTGAAGTTGCGCAGGATCTCCCCAGTCCCCTGTGCCCGGCACACGTAGAGCCCTGAATCCTCGTAGGCAACCCCTGAGATCTCCAGCAGGCTCTGCCAGAGACGGATACGACCCCTCGGGACGAGCGGCCGGGAGTCCTTGTACCAGACCACACTGGCACCGCTCTGGTTGGCATCACAGTACAGCTTCAACACGTTTCCTGGGTCCAGCAGGAGATGTTCCTCTTCTGATTCCAGCAGCGGGCTCTCAAACAGCTCTGGAGAGATGCTGTGAGTGCCTGGCCCTGTGCTCATCTCTTCCCGATGGCAGAACCCCACCACACACACAGCCCAGTGCAGAGAGCACGTGGTGCAGCCCAGGCCAATGCCCAGCTCTGCCGCCCTGCAGGCAGGCAAGGAATGGACTCTGCCCTGGGGCAATGTGACACGGTTTCTCCAGTGCTGTGTCCCAGTCCAAGGCCATACATGCCACCAGCCTTCTGCAGGGCTACTCCCAGCGGTGCAGGGTGCCTGAGCCTGTCCTGCTGCTCCAAACAAGGCACCAAATCTTACTGGCAACCCACCACCAACAATATGCCCACAGCCCTGGCAGACCCTGGTGATGCCTGTCTGGGCAGTGGTGTCAATGGCTGGCAGCAGGCGTGTGCACATGGAGGGCAGAAACAACTCAACTACCAGCTCAACAATACCTACCACAGCCTGACCACCTGCGTGTGGGGGGCTAGGGACACATGTGGCCATCACAGGGGGCATGTGCTTCTCCTGAACCCACCACCAAGAGCCACTGACTCCTTGCGCCTCTAAGTCGCTTGCACTTGCCACTGAGCCACACACAATTGCCACAGCCCACAGCGTTCAGGCCATCCTGCTCTGCCATGCACGTCCACCGAGTGAGCTGAGACCCTGCAGCACAGGGATGCTGCCACCCTGCTCCTTCCAGCCTCCACACCTCCTTGCCCAGCGATGAAGATGCTGGCCCCCTGTGCAAAGCCCCAGCCAGACACGTGTCCCCAGCTCCCACCAGCCCAGCCCCGCAGAGCTGTAGGGCTGTGTGCCCAGGGCAAGCATCCATCTCCCCCAGCCCAGGCGCTTGCTGCGGGGTGAAAGCAAGACCTCCCCATCCCACTGCCTCCAACCCCTCCTCCGCCCCGCCGAAGCCGTACCTGGCTCCATCGCCCTGCCCTGGGCAGCAGCCGCCAGCAGCCGCCCC